GTGGTTATAGGTAGAAGTAGTAGTATTTATTTCGTTTATTTCTCTTGATAAGTTTGATACTTTTGCTTTTGATTTGAATGTGTAGGTAACCCCTGACGCATGCAAGAAAGACTGGAAGTTATTATGGAAGAAGTTACTGAAGAAGAATCCAGGTCGGAAGAGACTGAAAACACACCGGAGATTCAACAACAACCTCAGTTACTTCCACCACCACCACCACCACCTGAATCTGAATTAGAAGAAACCATGGCGGAGGAAGATGAGAACGATATGCACACCCTGGATGACTATTTGGATAAAGAAGGGCAGACTTTTCACTCAAGTATCTGGCTACCAGACATTCAAGCCAGGAATTTTGAAATCAAGCCTGTTATGATTCAACTACTGGGGATGATGGGTACTTTTGAAGGAAATTTTAAGGATGATCCGAATGAGCATTTGACCAAGTTTATAGAGGTTTGTGAGAACTTCAAACAAACTGGGGTTACTAAAGATGCACTGCGATTGAGATTGTTCCCCATGTCGTTATCTCACAAGGCAAAAACGTGGTTAAATTCTTTACCAGAACACTCTATTAAGACTTGGGATGAGCTTGTATCTAAGTTCAAGGCCAGATTTATTCCAAGGGGCAAACGTGCAACATTAAGGGGTGAATTTCTTTCTTTCGAGCAGCATCCAGATGAATTATTCTACAAGGCTTGGGAAAGATTCAAGGATATGTGGAGAAATTGTCCAAATCATGAGCAAAAGAAATATGTTCTAATGGAAGCTTTCTGGAATGGGTTGAATGATCAGACAGTGACAATGCTGAATACCGCTTCAAAAGGAGGAATCGGAAAGATGAAGGTAAATGAGCTATATGAACTGTATGAAGAGGTGGCATCTAGCACTATGCAACAGTATAACAAGAGAAGGAAAAGTTCTGGGAGATATAAGGAGCCTAGTTCTTCATCATCAAGGGATATTGCATCGCAACTCGAAGCAATATCTAAGAGATTTGACAATCTGGAATTGCAGATTAAGAAAGGAAATGCTATAGGAGTTCATGCACTTCAAGCTCTGGGATATACTTGTGACCATTGTAATGAGGAACATCATTTTGATCAATGCCCATACACCTTGGAGATAGTCAATTATATGAATAATGTGCAATGAAGACCACAAGGAAGCCCTTACTCTCAAACTTACAATCCAAATTTGAGAAATCACCCAAATTTCTCTTGGCGAAATGGGCCAAGTTTGAATCCACCACAAATATTACCATCTGGTGCTAAACAAATAGGGCCTCCTAGTTTTCATGGTCAACCACAGCAACATTAATTGCAACAACAGCATCCTCAAAAGGAAGAATCCAAAATTGAGAAGATGTTTGCTCAACTATTAGCAAATCAAGAATCTGCAAGGGCTGAGAATAAGGCAACATTTTCTCTCCATGAAACTGCCATCAAGAATCTTGAGGTTCAAATGGGTCAACTGGCTTCACAAATGAATGTACTCATAAGAAGCAGCTTACCAAGTGATACCATTCCCAATCCAAAAAGGGATGGTAATGAAGAGTGCAAAGCTATCAGTTTGAGAAGTGGAAAGCAACTACCTGACATTCAGAGGCCTAGTAAGATCGGCAATGACATCACTAACAGTATGGTGACTGACCTTGATACAAATGAGCTTTCAGAAGAAGGTGATGTAGTAGAAGAGGAAGAAACCAAGAAAAGAAAACAAACAGAAGAAAATCTCAATGATGTTGTTCGAGGAAAGAATGTAGAGGGTGAAATGGTTGATGATAAAAAGAGGAAGACAACTCCCCCTCCTGCTACACAGATGCCGCCACTTCCCTTTCCTTGACTTTATTTATAAGCACCTATCAACAAATTTACATTGTAATTTAAAGAATGAAAATTGTGTGTTTTATTGATACTTCGATTGGTATTTATATACAATAGAGGAGCCTAGGTATTAATGGCTCATTACTATGAAATCAATCATATCGTATCCTATATACTAATTACAGGATATTTACATATCTCATAATATCTCCTATAATATCTCTACACTCCCCTCAAGTTGGAGCATAGATGTCAATCATGCCCAACTTGTTACAAAGATATTCAACTCGAACCCCATTGAGAGCTTTGGTGAGAAGATCACCCAACTGGTCGCTGGATCTGACATGTCCTGTAGAGATGAAGTTTTCCTTGAGCTTGTCTCGGATGAAATGACAGTCAATCTCAATATGTTTCGTTCGTTCATGAAAGACCGAATTCGAAGCTATGTGTAGGGCTGCTTTATTATCACACCACAGCTTTGCTGGTAACGAGGTTTTAAGACCAACCTCTTTTAGTAGCTGGTATATCCAAACTATCTCACATACAGATTGCGCCATGGCTCTGTATTCCGCTTCTGCACTCGATCGTGACACCACATTCTGTTTCTTGCTTTTCCAGGACACCAAGTTGCCTCCTACAAAAACACAGTATCCTGTAGTAGATCGTCTCGTGGCTTTCGACCCACCATGATCAGCATCACAAAAGCACTCAATGTCTGTGTGACCATGATTCTTGTACAATATCCCACGACCCGGGGATCCCTTCAAGTAGTGTAACACATGCTCTAAGGCTTCCCATTGTCGGACAGTTGGCGCAACCATAAATTGGCTAAGGACACTTACTGGATAGGTGATATCAGGACGGGTCACTGTAAGGTAATTCAACTTCCCAATCAGTCTCCTATACCTCTCTGGATTTTCAAATGGCTTGCTCTTAGTAGCCTCATCAGGATTTTCACATGGTATGCTACCATCAGCATCAAGCAAAGGATTATAGACCATAGGGAAGCTGGTCGGGGCAGCCCCTAGTTTCCCAGTTTCTTTTAGCAGATCAAGAACATACTTTCTCTGAGTCAATAAGATGCCTTTCTTGCTCCTCATGACTTCAATTCCCAGAAAATACTTCAATGAACCCAGATCCTTCGTTTGGAAATATGAGTTAAGGAACGACTTGAGAGATGAGATCCCAAGGATTGTTTCCTGTAATCACAATGTCATCGACATACACAACCAATAGGATCATGCCAGCACTTGTTTGCTGATAGAACACAGAATGATCACACTTACTCTGATGCAGGCCAAAGTTCTTCACAACAGTACTAAATCTGTCAAACCATGCCCGAGGACTTTGTTTTAAGCCATAGAGTGATTTCTTAAGGCGACACACCTTCCCACGCTCCCCCTGAGCAACAAAACCTGGTGGTTGCTCCATATACACTTCTTCAAGGAGATCACCGTTCAAGAATGCATTTTTGATATCTAATTGATGGAGATCCCAACTATAGGTAGCGGCCATGGAGATAAACAGACGAACAGAAGAGAGCTTGGCCACGGGGGAAAAAGTCTCAGAGTAGTCAATACCATACTTTTGAGCATAGCCTTTTGCGACAAGGCGAGCCTTGAGGCGTTCAAGTGTACCATCCGCCTTAACTTTAGGGGTCAACACCCACTTACACCCAATAGCTTTCTTTCTGCTGGTAAATCTACTAAGGTCCATGTGCCAGCACAATGAAGGGAAGCCATCTCTTCTTCCATAGCAGTACGCCAACCCGGGTGGGACAAGGCTTCATGAAGGGACTTAGGTACTGAAATAGTATCTAAAGAGGCAACAAAGGCACGAGAAACAGAAGGGAGGTGGTTATATGAAACAAAAGAAGAAATAGGATGGGCACAAGTACGTTTACCTTTGCGAAGGGCAATGGGCAAATCAAGGGAGGGATCTGGATTGGAACAGGAGGTGTCTCAGAGTCAATTGAGGGATCGGCATCTAGACCTGGAGCAGGGTCAGGCTCAGGGTGCATGATGCTTGCTGCAGGATCAGATGACAAGCAATAATGGTGGAGTAGAATGTGGTGCAATAGTAGGAGTAGTTTCCTTCAAACGTCTGGTGTAGACCTGAGACAAAGGTGGTTGACCAGGTGCCAATACGGGAACTGGTGCTGGTGGTAAGCTTGGACTAATAGAATATACCAGAAAGGAATCCTCCTCCGCCGTGGAGAAGATGAAGTGGAAGCATTAGATGCAAAGTAGGCAACAGATTCCTGAAAAGTGACATCGGCTGAAACTAGATAACGATTCAAAGTAGGAGAAAAACATCGATAACCCTTTTGAACTCGAGAGTAGCCAAGAAAGACACATTTAAGAGACTTAGGGTCCAAGTTGGAGACCGTGGGACGCACATCTCGAACAAAACAAACACAGCCAAAGATCTTAGGATCAATAGGGAACAAAGCTTTGGAAGGAAAGAGAGTGGTGTAGGGAATGTTACCATCAAGGACAGAGGAGGGCATGCGATTAATAAGAAAACAAGCTGTGGAGACTGCATCTGCCCAGAATGGTTTTGGAACCTGCATTTGAAATAAAAGTGCACGGGCCACTTCTAATAAGTGACGATTTTTTCTTTCGGCCACACCATTCTGAGCCGGTGTATCCACAAAGGAAGATTGATGAAGAATGCCATGTTGAAGCATAAAAGAGTGAAAGGATTCAGAAAAATATTCTTTAGCATTATCACTGCGTAAGGTGTGGACAAGCGTATTGAATTGAGTTTTAATTTCGGCAACAAAAGTACAAAAGTGAGAGAAAAGCTCAGAACGATTTTTCATTAAATATAACCAAGTGGTACGGAATAATCATCAACAAATGTGACAAAATATTTAAAACCACCTTTGGACTCAACTGGACACGGACCCCAAATTTGGAGTGCACTAACTCAAAAGGGGACGAAGCCCGTTTATTGACTCTAGACACTAACGGTAGACGATGATGTTTAGCAAACTGACACGACTCACGATCTAAAGACACAAATGCTGAAACTGAGGATAAACCTTTTTTAAAGAGGATAAAGATAAATGACCCAAATGACAATGTGCTTCAAATGGAGTGACACCACCAGTACAAGCCACCGCATAGACCCCTGATCATCAAGGAAGTAATGCCCACCAGATTTGTAGCCCTACCAATAATCTTCTTCGTCAAAAGATCCTGTATCAAGCAATGGTCAGGAAAAAGTGAGACCCAACAATTTAATTGGCGAGTAAGCTTGCTAGGGGACAAAAGGTTAAAAGCAAGATTCGGGACATTGAGTACAAATTTTAAATGAATAGAAGGAGTAGGTTTAACAGTGCCAGATCCAAGGACACGAGAGTAGGAACCATCAGCAATGGTGATAGCAAAAGGGTTGGCATAAGAAGTATAGCTAGAGAAGAGATGACGGTTACCTGTCATGTGGTCAGTAGTACCAGAGTCTATGATCCATTTGGAGGAAGAAGAGACAAGGGCAGTAGCCTCATTACCTGTTGCACTAGTAGTGCTCACCGGGGGATTTGCAGATTTCAATTGAGCATACTCAGCAGCTGAGATAGTAACCATATCACTGGTTGTTGTGGCCACATGGGCAGAGCTCTGTCGTTGTTGTTTGTTTTGCAGTTTACGACATGTGCGTTTAGTATGTCCCAGTTCCTTGCAGTAGTAACATATCACTTCCTTGGGCTCCTGGTTACCACCTCCTGGTTTCGGACCACTGCGACTAGGGAGCCCTCGATTGTCATTTTGGCCTTGACTGAGTAATGCACTAGTAGGTGGAATGGGAGCTGAGGAAGGGTTTTGTTCAGTTCTTAGTACACGAGAGAAAGCTTCTTCAAGAGAGGGGATGTCAGCTCCTGACAAAATTTGTGATCGAGCAGCCGCATATTGAGATGGTAGTGCAGTCAGAAAACTCATGGTGGCCATCTACTCGCGGTGAGACACATTAACTTTCCTGTCATCAGAAATAGGAATAAGAACATTGAGCTCTTCATAGGTGCTTTTAAAATCCATAAAGAAATTTGTGAGGGAACGATCAATTGGCATCTTGGACCGATAGAACGATCTATAGACCTCGTAAATACGAGAGATGTTGTTCTTTCCTGAGTATAAGAGTGCCAAGTAATCCATTAGTTCTTTAACAAATTCATAATGAGTAATAGAAGGCATGATCTCACTATCAATAGAGTTACGAAGTTGTAACAGAAGCCGTGCATCATCTCTTAACCATGACTTGCGAGAGGCATCCTTTTCATCAGGAGGATTGTCAGTCAAGTGATCTTCCTTCTCAATGCTCCGAAAATAAATATGAATAGTCTTACTCCAATCCAGATAATTTTTCCAAGTTAGTTTGTGTTCAGTAATCTTAGTGATTACTGGAACCACCTCAGGGACAACAGACTTGTTATCACCCATTAGGATAATAATTATCACAGCAATACTAATCAGTCAAATGGATCACACTAGGGACCACAGAATAAAAAGTAGATCAGAATTCCACAAACCAGAGCGCCAACGCTTTCTCAGGAAGCCAAAAGTGCTCTGAATCACACCAAATAATGGGACCCAGGAAGTAGAAGCGGCAGGGAAGGGTCAGAACAGAAGCGACGGCGCTGGAAAACAAGAGAAGACATTGGAAAAACGCTGCGACGTGATGGCGCGTGAACAGTGCAGCAGCGGAGGGTGACGGTGCGTGAAGGCCACGTGCTGCTCGGACGGCGACGAGACTCCGATGGTTGACCGATCGGGACCCTGCGACCTCCGTTGACCGGCACGTGTGCACTGTAGAGGACGGGAGGCTGGAGTTCCGTGAACAATGTAGGGACGGTGAATAGTGCACTGAGCTGGACGAACCAGAAAAAAAACGTTTTTTTTTCTAACCTAATAAACCTGCTCTGGTACCATGTAATTTAGAGAATGAAAATTGTGTGTTTTATTGATACTTCGATTGGGTATTTATATACAATAGAGGAGCCTAGGTATTAATGGCTCATTACTATGAAATCATATCATATCGTATCCCATATACTAATTACAGGATATTTACATATCTCATAATATCTCCTATAATATCTCTACATACATAAATTAAGAAAGTTAGTTAAAATTAGTTATTTCTTGTAAAATGTTAAAATTACCCGTAATAAAAGTCATTAGTTAAAAGAGTTTGTTTAGCTACTTAGAAAGTTTTATGGCTTGTTAAGGATGCTAGATGGGAAAAATTATTACTTCGGCCAAAACATGTTATATTAGGAAGCATATAAAGAGTTCTTATAATGAGGATCAGAGGGAATATATAAATATTGTGATAGAGTTTGTAAGGCTCCCATCTCTGTATTGCTTTATTCTGTAGCTAACGAATTTTGTTAAAAAAGAAACTGTGTTGGAGGAAGAGGTTGTTGTTTGCCTTAGCTGATTAAGAAAATAACACTAAATGACACTAACAATACATTCACTTAAATTTGTTGTCTTAGGTGAAGGGATACTTTCAATATGAGGCAGAAGATGGAACAGTTAACGAGATATTCTGCCAAATTTTGAAAAAGCTTGATTTGATTCAGCTGATGATTAAGCGTGAGAAGAGGATAGTCAAAAATGAACTAGATTGCTCTTGCATGTGTACAAACAAGACAGCCATTAGAACCTTGTAGCAATTTTCTTGGAGTGCTCCCAGCAGATGAAGGTTTCCTCCTCTTCCACATTCACACAATTCAAATCCAGAATTTAGCATCTATGCAGAAGAAGCCTGTAGCTCGGCTTTTTCCAATCTACTGAGATGGCAACATTTCATTGATGATACTGATGAGGTGAAGAATGACTCAGTTTGATGGCAAATTTTGGGTATTTTATAGACGATCACTGTTTAATTTGGAAAACAGTTGAATATCTATGGTTGAATCTATCATAAAAAAAAGAGGTAAAAGTATACATCCAATCTTTTAACTTTATATGATATTTTAGTTGAATTCTTTAATTTTATAAAGTATTATTCAGTCCTCTAACCCTTATATGATTAGTCTCAAATGATGATTTTTCGTGTCAAGCATTATTATTTAAAAAGTTAAATTCAATATAGGCAGTTTTTGTTGATGAAAACTAATGGTATTGAGGTTAAGGTTAGAGACTGAGAAGGAACTTATAAAATTAAGAGATTAAATTAAAACCTTCCGTGGATTTAAAGGATTAAAAGGACAATTTTGTCTAAAAAAATCAAAGAATTTTATAGTGTTGCTAAGAGTTCACTTGCTATGTTATAACTGGCATTTGTTTTTGTTGTAGATAATTCTATTGTATCAGAGATTAATTTGTACAGGGGAGAGAATAAAGTTATATAATTTTTCCAGGGCTCATATATCTCTTCATATATGTTAAATTTACTTGTGCCTTGTTTTGTATTAAGTCAATTCATTATTTTGCTTTGTATAAATGTGTTCTCTCTTATATCTTTGATGAATTTTTCCTTAAGGTTAGTTGTATCAAATAAACTTTTGGTTATCCTCAAATTAAGAAATGTGCATGCAAAGGTTGCCACAAAAAAATTAGGGTAAAGGTGAATTTAGCGTCATCAAGTATTTTTTCATGTGCATCCAGTATCTGAGAATATTTGATACTGCATTAAACATCTTGAAGTATTTTTAGTGCAATTTTATATTTAACAATTTAAAATGTTGGATTCACTTGAAAAAAAACTTCAATGTACTGTATGCACCAAAATATGATTGAGGGTACTGAACACATTTGAAAAATATATTTTAAAGTGTTAGATATATCTAAAAAAATAATTAAAAGTGTTGGATGCATCTTAACCTAAAAAACTATTTTAAAATTGTAAGGAGTAGTATTGAAAATCATGGATCATTTGATGGCTTGTGAATTCAAAGAAAATTTCAAGTCGCCTATTCAAAATTTTCGCTTTTCTGTGGCAAAAGAGAAATTTCGCTTTTATAGGAAAAGAATACAAGGATCTAACAAATCTAAGCCTAAATGCATTCTGAAAAGGGATTTGGCAATTAAAATTAACATAGAAAATGTCTATCGATGACTTCTAATCAAGTTTATGTTCTAAAATGCCTTTAATTCATAAAAACATTTTTTAAAAGCTTGAGGAATAAGAAAATTGAGTAAGAATACTTTCATTCACCTGATAAAAAAATCTCTTAAAAACTGATGCGTTGGCTCATGTACAAAGGACTCTTTTTGCCCCCTCCTAGCAAAATAAGAAAGAATTGCAGCAATATGAAACCAGTGGAAAAAATAAAGCAATATAATTTCAAGAATAACACTCATGTATGATGGGTAATATATGTGTACAAAATTTGCCAGGGAACATTACGCATAGGTTCCAAGGAAGAGATTTTATTCATCCAAGATCCCACGAAATATCAAGATTACTAGCAGGTCTCAAGAGACCTTAGAGTATTATATTCTAATTGTAAAATGACATTACTATCTCTCAGATTCCTAATTCATATTTTCTCTACCATTACGATTAACAACTTCAGCAGTAACTATTAACAACCCAATGAGAAGGTGTTGACAACCTAAGTAGTATCCGCTGACAATTTACTTTATAGGATCACATAAACTCCACATAAGAGTAAATTATAAACAAATAATATAATACAACAACTTTAACACTAAAATGGAAAGTTTTTTGAAACTATTAAGAACTTTAACTAAACCCAATAGGTTTATAGCAAAATTTTAATGCAAAAATCTGTTAACAACGTTAATTGTGAGTATTAATAACCCAATGAGAGCTGTTGACAACCTAGACAGTGTTTGTTAACAACTAACTTTATAGGATAATATAACATCTACATAAGATCAAATTATAATTAAATAGTATAACATAACAACTACATAAGATGAACTTTAACACTATTTAGTTATAATTTAGTTAGTTATAGTTGTTAGAGGTTATATTATCCTATAAAGTCATTTATTAGCAGATACTGCCCAGATTGTCGACAACTCTCCTTTAGTTATTAATACTCACCATTGAGGTTTCAATAAATCTCCGCATTAAAATTTTGTTATAATCCTATTGGGTTTAGTTAAAGTTCTTAATGGTTTCGAAAAGCTTTTCATTTCAGTGTTAAAATTGTTATATTATACTATTTGGTTATAATTTACTCTTATAAAGAGGTTATGTGTTTCGATAAAGTAAGTTGTCAACGGATACTGCTTTATATTGTTAACACTTTCTCATTAGGTTATTAATAGTCGCTGCTAAGGCTGTTAATCACAATGGCAAAGAAAATGTGAATTGGGAATCTAAGAGGTAGTGATGTTATTTTACCATTAGAATATAATACTCTAAGGTCCCTTGGGACTTGCTAATAATTTTGATATTTTGTGGGACCTTAAATGAATAAAATCTCTTTATTGGGACCGGTGCATAATTTTCCCAATTTGCCAAAGCCTTGATCTGTGCCATCGATACGATACGCAGGATGATGCTAATCTTCTTTGCATTATTTTATGTGAAAGGACTTGCCATTTGCCAATATTAGATGCACCTCCAAAATGATGGAAGGTGTGTGATGTAAAACCCTTAACTTCAAAAACATTATAAACTCGTCGTAAAATTCACTACTATGGTAGAAAAGGAAAGCTGTTACAACAAACTACCATAGTAGAAAGAAATTACATAACTTTAGAAATTAACATTTAAACTCGGTTCAAATTCGAACTCTATTGCATGCAACTAAAATCATTCATTAACAACCATTGGGCCTCCGAGCCTCCGGCCCGGGTAACAAAAGACATCAAAATTAGCCCATCTAATTAGTTTCAACCATGTATATCAAAGTTTCACAAAGCAATAGAAATGGCCTCTGGCCCACCCAAATAAGGAGATAACATTCTCTCTTGTTTACAACAAGGCCGGGTAATCAAAATAATTCAAAAGGAGTCCTAAATGT